TGACATAGTTTCCGCGCCACGGCCCTTCGAAATATGTCGGATAGAAGAAAACCGATCGAAAATAGTAAGACCAGTTGCGACATGGGTGTGAACTGCTGCCCGTCAACATTCGAAATATTTGTCACTTTTGCGCGTACACACGACCGAGAGTGCGTTACGATCGCTGCCAATCTCACTCGTTCTTCCTACCTCTCTCTACCTTGTTCCCGTGCACCCCTGGCCCAGTTTCGTCGAAGGACAACCTGGGGACCAACTACCGTCGGGCAGCCAAGACGAACGCCATCGAGTACCTTCTGGACGAAGTCTACCGCATGGAATCCGGAACGGGGGACGCAGAGGACCCGATCGAGTTGGAAGAGCGGGGTGGCGGTGAGGGAGAGGGTTCGGAAGATGGCTCTGGGGAATCGTCACCGACGGAGAGCGAGGACGGCGGGGGTGGAAAGCAGAAAGGAACGGAGGAAGCAGTGTAGCCACAGTAAAGCAGCGGTGATGACTCACCGGCGGGGGAGGGGAGGATGAAGAAGGAGCCAGAAGACGATACGACGGGCAACGGGGATGATGCCCCTTCCGAAGAAATCACACGAGAAGAAGGCGGGTTTCCGCAGAGGCCCAAGAAGTGGATGCACCAGTATCTCCTGACATTCTGTTTGATTGGAAGACCATGCAGCAGCGAGGACCCTGACCTCCGAACCGCACGCAAAACATCCGGAGCCAAGGGTCGCGGAGCGTCCGGAGCCAAGGGTCGCGGCGGGAAGCAGAAGGCGAAGAAAGGGTCACCCGGCACCAGCGACGAAAGCGGGTCGGAGGCGAGCGGTGCGTACACCGAGGTTGATCTGTCGTCCAACGCGATCCGGATGTTCACAGGGGCCGGCGAAATTCAAAGCCAAGCACAGGTGAAGGAGACTGCTGCGGTGGCGGCCGCCAATGCGCAACTGCAGGCCCGCCGCGTCCGGGAGACCAACACAGGCAACCTGGTGACGGCCGTGGAAGCTCTGTCGGCGGCTGTCGGTCGAGGCAGTCTTTGGATGAAGAGGCTGAGGCAGGGCTCGCTTGGCGGACGCTCGAGAGGCCAAGAAGGCGAAAATTGCAGACCTCAAGGGGATGTTGGAGTATGCACCATCCGAACAAA